GGGAACAGACAAGAATAATAAATAACCTCACCAGGGAGCAGATACACAGCCCTAATGGTTCTATACCACACCTTCCAATCCGCAGCCATGTGAGAAAGCATATTTGTCTGTATAGTACTACTGGTTTTTAGTAAAGTTACAGTCTACAGCCTAATGTTACAAGGGGAAAAATTACTATTCAAAACCAACAGACAGAATCACTAGGGAAATCTTGGCTGGGAGCATGATTATTGCCAAAGTCCCTGCCTCAATGTAGGACATAAGTAAAGCAGGGATGAAAATGGCTGATTACACTTTTTATTTGGAGACTCTGCCTTGATTTGAAAGCAGATTAACTTATCTAACAGGTCTTTTTCCACTACTACTCATTGTATGGAATATTTTTAGAATAGTATAAAGAAACTTGTATTCTTTCTGAAACTAATATGTTGCAGGAGCTGATTGGGGGGCGTCTAAAATGGTATGTTATATAACTGTCTGGGTAAGAGAATGCCCAGAACCAGCAGACTTGTGTGCGTCTCAGTTACCTGTTAGCTGTGTGACCTGGGATTAAAAACATTAAGAAGGGTAATAATATCTGCCCTACTCAAATGAGATAAACATGTAAGACTCTATAAATATAAAGTTACAAATGTTAGTTTTATTTAGTTACAGATTTACTAATCTATGAAAGTCAGAAAAGTCTTGACAAATTTTTTTCTATGTTTTCCTATGTAAAATGCATCATGACTTTTCCAACAGTCTAATATTTCTAGTTTGTATCTAAATTAGGAAATAGCAATATTTATTAAATACTTAACACTATGATATGGAGCCACTTTTGGGTCCTGACACCATAACTATCTTGACACGCTCACATAATTGATGCTCCTGAAGAAATGGACAAACACAGTACCTCCTGGCTCGTTTATTTCCAGAAGTCTTTATTTCACTTTAAAATTCAATAACCTTAAAGGAACACCTATCTAGTTTCTGACTATTTACAGCTCAGTTATCTAAGAACTTAGTTTTTCTTCTCTTTTAAACTTCCTGCTTTATTCATAGTTATTTAATTTCTTAGGTACTTCTCTGTGTCTGGTAAACAGAGGAAGATCAAAAGGGTTGAGAAACGTGAAAAGTATAGTTCAGTAGAGTCTTTTTGGTGCCGGGATAAAATAAGTTAGCGGTGGGAGAGAGGATAAAACTGCTGAATAAGAAAGTTAATGAAAAGATAGTGAAAGTTTATGGTAGATTTTAATTGTGCATTAATAAGTTCCAGTCAAGTTTCTGCTCAGAAGATCTACCAGAGAGGACTTTGCTGTACACCCTATCTCAAATCCCTTTGTACGACTTTATTCCTATGGTCTATGTCACCACCTGATAAGATTTTAATTTGAACTATATTATTAATTTTCCCATTAAAATGTAAATTCAACATGTGGAAGAAACCTGTTCATAGGTATATTCTCATTAGCTGGCACATAACAGTTCTCTATAAGTGAAAGAAACAGTGTATTCATATTAGGTTTCATTTTTTTTTTTTTTTGGAGAGATTTTCGCTATAGGGCGTGTGGGCTCGCCAGACAGACAGAGAGAGACATAGAGACAGAAAGCGAGAAATCACCCCCCAGGGGGGATGGTCACGCCGCAATCCCTTCTCCTCCATTCTCCTCTCGGGATCTTGGGCATGCACGCACACACGCCCGGCGTGCGTTTTAAGCCACCGGGTCCGGGACGCGAACCGCGGTCGATTACGTGGGAGTCCAGCGACATAGCCATTATGCTAACTGCTGGTTCCCAAGGTTTCATATTATGATATGTGATCAAAGTATACATAAATCTCCATCAGGCTAACAGTAGACCTCTCATCAGAAACAATGTGAGCAAGGAAAGAAGGGGAAAATATATTCAAAGTGTTAAAGGAAAAACAATTTAAAACCAAGAATACTATACCTGGCAAGATTATCCTTCATATGGGAAGAAAAGATAAAAACATTCTCAGATAAACAGAACCTGAAAGAATTTACCAATACAGACTAGCTCTTCAAGAAGTTCTAAAAGGAGTGCTGTACCAAGAAAACTAAAGACACACAGAGAGAAATAAGAGAACAAAATGCAACCAAGAAAATGACCAACCTAATGGTAGGGACAAGTCTAGAAATATCAATAATAACGTTAAATGTTAACTTCCAGAAATTAAACAGAAAGATCAGACCACAATAACACTGCAAATTCAACAGAAAAGAGATTAATGGGAACCAGCAGTTAGAGTAATGGCTATGTCGCTGGACTCCCACGTAATCGACCGCGGTTCGCGTCCCGAACCCGGTGGCTTAAAACTCACGCTGGGTGCATCTGCATACGTGCCCAAGATCCCGAGAGGAGAATGGAGGAGAAGGGATTGCGGCATGACCATACCCCCTGGGGGGTGATTTCTCGCTTTCTGTCTCTATGTCTCTCTCTGTCTGTCTGGCGAGCGCACGCGCCCTATAGAGAAAATCTCTCCAAAAAAAAAAAAAAAAAAAAAAGAAAAGAGATTACCTGAGACTGAACTGGTAAACAAATAGAATTTTATGACTTTTGAATAAAATATTACTAATTTATTTGCTATGCTTTGTTTTCCAGATTTAAGTATTTTGCTTTCTTTTGAGCTGTTGATAGGTTCAGCAATTGTTAAAATATTTTGTTTGTTTGTTTAAATTGAAACATAAGCTTTTCTCCCTTCCTGGCCCCTTTGGAATTGGAAAATATTTGTGAGTATTCTTCTATTATGGCAGAAGGGTTATCTGCATAAGTTCAATAATACCTGTTGCCAAGGCTTGGAATGGAATGTCCTTTCTGACAATATGACAAGAAAACTATGAAAGTTAGTTTCTTGGTAGAGCTCAAAAAAGCCAACAGAAGCTCTTGCAAAGACAGCCTGGCACCATAAACAGTTCTGCCTGGCAGAGAGGATTAGAGAATCTATAGAAAGAATTCCTACCATAAAATAACCTGGACTTTTCCAGCCCAGCATTGTAATCAGTAGTGATGGCAAAAGAGCAGCCATGACCAGAGGATTAGCTTGAGGAAGACTTTGAAGGAAGAAAAAGATTGATCTTTGCTAACAGATGGTAAACCACAGGGTACTTGGTAGGCAGAGCTGAGTTGGGAAGGTTCACGTATGAATCAAGTGCTGGGTGCTTGCTTTTCAACAGTTTGAGTAGTTGACATATAAATATTTTCTCAAAAATATTTAAAACCATACTACCTCTGTTGTTATAGAGTCACAAACAAAATTATAACAAATATTTTGAAAGTTATCTTTAAAATTCAGTTTTTTGAAATTTTGAAAGTTGTTTATTAACTGTCAAGATCTATGGAGTATGAGCAAAAATTTTTGATATGTAAAGTAAATGTGGGAAATGTAAAAAAATAAATAAGTAACAAAAACAAAAACGAATCCTCCCATAAAAACGAAATATACATAAATTTAATTAAAAATATAAAAAGTAGTTACAAGATATATATTTTTTGGTAGCAGAGTATTCTGGCAAATAGAATATGTTTCTTTTCAAGGTAACCAGTGTCCCAATTGGTCTGTGTACTTTTTCATCAGGAAAACACACACATATAGAAACATAAAATTAGGTTGTTTAAAGAGCTGGAAAGTTAAAAATGGATTAGTTAAAAAGGAAAAAAGGCCTTGCCTTTAAAACAAGAAATTAACTTTAACCAAAATATATTGAAATTTTGAATTAAAAACTCCAAAAACAGGGACCAGCAGTTTGTTAAGGTGCTGGACACTCCCACATGGCTAACCACAGTTCAAGTCTCGAAGCTGGCAGCTTGCTTTCTCATTCCCCCCCTCCATGTGTCACTCTCTGGTCAAATTAGAATTAAATGAATAAATTAAGTTAAATTAAATTAAATGATTATTTTAAAAATACCTCCAAAACCAATTTTAATGTAAAATTATATTCTAGATATTAAAATAAGAGGAGGAAATCACAAATTCCCACAACTAACAATAATGTTATTAATAATAATATAGTTTTTAATAATATTAAATAATAATAAATGGAAGGTTGGGTGGGTAGAGAAGTAAACGTTTTAGAGTGAACTCCATGTGTTCCATCCCTATGGCACAAAAAGACTATGGTGCCAGTGTGTGGCTGTTATAAACGCAACTAAAGGTCGATTGGTGGGATGCCATCATTATTTCTTTAGTTCTCTCTCTTGCAGTCTACCGAAAGTTATATTTAACTTTGGTTAAGTGATTACCCTTGACAGTGTGATTATAAGAGCTTTACTTGAATAATCTCAAGTTCTATGAGGTAATTACTATTATTGCCATTTCACAGATGAAGGAAGTAATTACTGATTATTAAAATGATTATTTAATGATTATTAAAATTTAATATTTAATAATATTATTTGTAATTGGCTAGAGGGTGCATGTACTCACCAGAGAGAGACAGAGAAAGAGAGAGAAGGAAAGTGAGAAAGCACCCCATTACCGGGGTGGTCATACTGCAATCGCTTCTCCTCCATTTCTCCTTTTGGGATTTTGGGCATACGCATGCACACACCTAGTGTGTTTTTTCAAGCGCCGGGTAAGGAACAGTCATGTGGAATCCACCGCCTCAACCACCATGCCACTGGTTAGCCCATGATGATTTTTATGCAGATAGAAGCCTATCTTTTGTACATAATTTAAATGAGAACCTGGTCCCTTCTGAAAATCAAACTTCTTTCATACATGATCACTGACAATAAAAAAGAATATTATTAGACTATTCACAAGTTATTAGAATATGACCATTTATTTTAAATAGATGTTTGAAAGATCCTCAAACTCTGACGTTGAGAAAAATACAATTCACTACCATTAAAGACATATTTAAGGGAAAAACAAGAGATTTCTTAACTAAAAGAGTAAGAATTGGTCACGAACAAATGCTTAAATTATAAATTTGTATTTTGTTACCTTCTAAAACATCTGAATTTGTTAAAAACTTGAAAAATAAAAAATAACTTACCTATAGGGTATCCCAATGCAAAGTCATTACTTTGTGTAGCAAAAATAGGGAATAATCCAGCTTTGCTAAATCGACTATCAGGACTGGCAACCAATAAGGTTAATACACATACAATGAAAAACACAGATGCTTTGGCAATTAATATACTATATAGGAAAGACCAATCCACATTAGAAAAATTAAGTACAACCATGTTTTTGAATAATAAAGCTGGAAGTGCAAATCTGGAAACAAAATTTCCTAGTCCTTTGGCCTGTGTTGACGTAATGACATTGGCCCTTCCTGCGATATAGCCACAAAGGACTATGCCAAAGCATTCTAGTAAGGCTGGAAAAAGCCTTGTTATTGACATTGAAGGTGGGTCATTTGTGGCATTAAATCCATGCGGGACTGTTGTAGACAAAGTCTTGGTTATATTGACTGTAATGGTTAAGTTCTCTGCAGGTAAGTTAGAAAAAGAATCCATTTTTTCTTTTCACCCTCCAACTCCAATCAGATTTCTGGAAAGAAAGGAAGAAAGATTCAATGTGATAATAAGAATCCCAGTTGAAATAATACATTGTCAAACTTAGACCTATTTACTTATTAAATGTCCAAATAAGTATATGTTCTTTCTTCAAATGCCACTAAGGGAAAAATACAATGAAAAAAAAATTTCTGTACTTTCAAAGGTAGTTTGGCTCAAAATATTCATGTTGCTGTTCTATATTCACTATTAGACATGAGAACCACCAATATTACAGTAACAATGATGCCCCGTGGCTCTCCCCAGTGATCTACGATCAAGTTATATCAATAGTTAAGAGCATGGGGGTTCTCAAGAGTCTCAGCTGAATGTCCACCTGCATCCAAATGCTCTGGAAATTTCAGAATTTTACACTGTCACATCACAAAGTCACACTGGGACCTGCGGGTCCTTTCCGGCCTGTGGTCATACCTGAGTATAGGATAGAAATAGAGTATAGGATAGAGTATCACTTACCAACTTTGAACCAGTAACTTTAACTTTTCTTTTTTCTTTAATGACAGAGAGAGAGAGACCCTGAACCAGATCTCGTTGTGCCAGGAGCCTTCGTGCAGCCTGCCAGCTTGTTGAGATCACAGGTATGCATGTGGGGGTCTGAACTCAGGCCTCCCATGTGGCTCTGGTATCAGCAGTGCCCTACAGCCTGTGCCACTGTGGCTGGGCCATTATCTTTTCACTTTTCTTTGCCTCACTTTCTTCAGCTGTGAAATGGCAATAACAGTAACTACCTTGTAGAAGTTACTAACTTGAGATCATTCAAGTAAAGTCCTTATAATACGCTGGCAAGGGCAATCACTTAACCAAAGTTAAGTATAACTTTTGGTAGACGATAAGGAGGAGAATGAAAGAAAAAATGATGGCATCCCACCAACCTACCTTTAGTTTTGTTTGTAACAGTTGCACACTGGCACCATAGTCCCTTTGTGCCTCAGGGACTTAGCACATGTGGTTCACTTTAAAATGCTCACTTTACCCAGCTGGCTGCCACTCTCTGTGTAATTACCTACTTATCCTCCCAACTATATTGTCCAGGAGTCACTTTATCAGGTAAGACTTCTCTGACCCTATAGCCAGGCCACATTTACTTCTCAGGTAGAATCATAGTCCTTACCTTTAGGTCACTTTTCCCAGTTTGTAATCATATTATGCATTAGAATGGTGTTTGATTTATGTCTGTCTTCTTCACTAGATTTTTAATGTCATGGAAGCAGGGACTATGCATGTTTTTGTTTTCTGGAGGGTCTCCAACATCTATCACAGTACCTGGCACATAGGAGGCACTAAAACATGTTTTCAATAAATGACTAAAATGATACCTTGCCCTTAAATAAATCGTATAGGTTTTCATTGACCAATCTACTCTTTCAGACATTATTTAGAATTTCTTTTACTGAATGATACAGTGTTCTAAGTTTTTCACTACAGCAAAAGGTCTAAGAACGCAAAATGTATCCTAAAATATGCTAAAGATGTTCATGAAATGGTGAACATAAAACAGGTTATAAAATGTTCTAAGATGTTCTGAAAATGCTAAAGGAACAAATTCTTTATGCTAATATTAATGGTAATTATCAGACTTTCCTCTTGCTGCCAGTGACACAATGAAGACAGGTCTGAACAACTCTAAAAACTAATTAGCTTTTATTAGTAACTTAAAATTACTGTGAAAACAATTGCCAATTTGCCAAGTGATTATTCTAGGTTTACCATTTAAAGTGATCTTATATAAAATAGAAAATAAAAAGGTTCACGCTTTCAAAAATTTGCAATGCCCAGATTAAGCTCTCAAGCACCTAAATAAATTAACAAAACTCAGATGACGGGACAGAAATCATCGGTTGATTCATGGGAATGTGTAAGAAAATTTTCTCTGTACTATCCTGGTATAAACCAAGCCATTCCAAAACCTTACCTTTAATCTGGATTAGAGCAAGGTGTTTTTTTTTTGTTTTTTGTTTTTTTTTTTTAAAAAAAACAAAAAAACAGAAAAAAACTAGGATTAGATAGGAGTGGTCACTATACATGAAACCTACAATACTCACATACTTGACGTTTACCAAATAAGCCTCAAATTATATCTTGGGAAAACTACAGGTTGGTACAAATACTGGTACTTGAAGTAAGGAGCTGGTAAACAATAAAAGAAAAGTGTTAAACATTTGGAGTCCTGGCTCAGCTCTGGTGGTACAGGCTTTAAAACACTGCTGCATGAAATTGGAGCCATAAGAGAAGCATGGGTTCCAATCCCAGGTCAACCTGAACATGTTGGGTACACCCATCAACAGGCCTGTGATCTGGACTGGCTGCGAGGTTGAGGAGAAGATCATGGTGTGGTGAGACCCTGTTGAGGGTACCTGTTTTCTTTCTCTTTCTCTTTCACTAAAGCAACAAATAAAACTAAAAACATAAACATTTGGGGAGTCCTAAAGGAATGTGGACTTGGAATGGCAGTACTAAAGGTGATAAACTATTCCAGTCTTCTGATATTTTTTGAAATGTCCCTATTATTTATTTGCCTGGTATATTAATAACTCATACTGCTCACAACTCCTTATTTATTACTCCTTATTTGCAAATCAATGTTTTCTTTTTTTGTTAGAGGGCATGTGAACTTGCCAGAGAGAGAGAGAGAGAGAGAGAGAGAGAGAGAAAGAGGAGAGAAAGCACCCACCAATGGAGTGTGGTCACACCACAATCTCTTGTACATTCCATGGGGATTTGGGGCATGCAATACATGTGCTCAGTGTGTTTTTCAAGTCACCAGAAGTGGGACTCAAACTAGCCATGTGGGAACCAACTCCCTTAACCACCAGGCTATGGCGCTGGCCTCTAATTTTTTAAAGCAACAGCTTTAACTAAACTGCATTAGTTCAGTAAAAAGAGTCAAATAGATTCTGGGCCTTGTTGTTTATCAACTCCTCCTTAGGTAAGTTATTCAATATTCCTGGATCTTATTGTCCTCAACTGTAAAATGAGACTAGAAACTTCCTTTGAGAGATATTGTGTGGATAGGATACTTTATACATAGCTTATTACAAGGTAGGCTTTTAAGAAGCAATTGCAGGACCAGCAGTTGGCATAATGGCTATGTCGCTGGACTCCCAGGTATTTTGTTTTCTGGAGGGTCTCCAACATCTATCACAGTACCTGGCACATAGGAGGCACTAAAACATGTTTTCAATAAATGACTAAAATGATACCTTGCCCTTAAATAAATCGTATAGGTTTTCATTGACCAATCTACTCTTTCAGACATTATTTAGAATTTCTTTTACTGAATGATACAGTGTTCTAAGTTTTTCACTACAGCAAAAGGTCTAAGAACGCAAAATGTATCCTAAAATATGCTAAAGATGTTCATGAAATGGTGAACATAAAACAGGTTATAAAATGTTCTAAGATGTTCTGAAAATGCTAAAGGAACAAATTCTTTATGCTAATATTAATGGTAATTATCAGACTTTCCTCTTGCTGCCAGTGACACAATGAAGACAGGTCTGAACAACTCTAAAAACTAATTAGCTTTTATTAGTAACTTAAAATTACTGTGAAAACAATTGCCAATTTGCCAAGTGATTATTCTAGGTTTACCATTTAAAGTGATCTTATATAAAATAGAAAATAAAAAGGTTCACGCTTTCAAAAATTTGCAATGCCCAGATTAAGCTCTCAAGCACCTAAATAAATTAACAAAACTCAGATGACGGGACAGAAATCATCGGTTGATTCATGGGAATGTGTAAGAAAATTTTCTCTGTACTATCCTGGTATAAACCAAGCCATTCCAAAACCTTACCTTTAATCTGGATTAGAGCAAGGTGTTTTTTTTTTGTTTTTTGTTTTTTTTTTTTAAAAAAAACAAAAAAACAGAAAAAAACTAGGATTAGATAGGAGTGGTCACTATACATGAAACCTACAATACTCACATACTTGACGTTTACCAAATAAGCCTCAAATTATATCTTGGGAAAACTACAGGTTGGTACAAATACTGGTACTTGAAGTAAGGAGCTGGTAAACAATAAAAGAAAAGTGTTAAACATTTGGAGTCCTGGCTCAGCTCTGGTGGTACAGGCTTTAAAACACTGCTGCATGAAATTGGAGCCATAAGAGAAGCATGGGTTCCAATCCCAGGTCAACCTGAACATGTTGGGTACACCCATCAACAGGCCTGTGATCTGGACTGGCTGGGAGGTTGAGGAGAAGATCATGGTGTGGTGAGACCCTGTTGAGGGTACCTGTTTTCTTTCTCTTTCTCTTTCACTAAAGCAACAAATAAAACTAAAAACATAAACATTTGGGGAGTCCTAAAGGAATGTGGACTTGGAATGGCAGTACTAAAGGTGATAAACTATTCCAGTCTTCTGATATTTTTTGAAATGTCCCTATTATTTATTTGCCTGGTATATTAATAACTCATACTGCTCACAACTCCTTATTTATTACTCCTTATTTGCAAATCAATGTTTTCTTTTTTTGTTAGAGGGCATGTGAACTTGCCAGAGAGAGAGAGAGAGAGAGAGAGAGAGAGAGAGAGAGAGAGAAAGAGGAGAGAAAGAACCCACCAATGGAGTGTGGTCACACCACAATCTCTTGTACATTCCATGGGGATTTGGGGCATGCAATACATGTGCTCAGTGTGTTTTTCAAGTCACCAGAAGTGGGACTCAAACTAGCCATGTGGGAACCAACTCCCTTAACCACCAGGCTATGGCGCTGGCCTCTAATTTTTTAAAGCAACAGCTTTAACTAAACTGCATTAGTTCAGTAAAAAGAGTCAAATAGATTCTGGGCCTTGTTGTTTATCAACTCCTCCTTAGGTAAGTTATTCAATATTCCTGGATCTTATTGTCCTCAACTGTAAAATGAGACTAGAAACTTCCTTTGAGAGATATTGTGTGGATAGGATATTTTATACATAGCTTATTACAAGGTAGGCTTTTAAGAAGCAATTGCAGGACCAGCAGTTGGCATAATGGCTATGTCGCTGGACTCCCAGGTAGTCAACCACAGTTCCAGCCCAGACCCGGTGGCTTAAACTCATGTTGGGTGTGTGTGCATGCGTGCCCAAGATCCCGAGAGGAGAATGGAGGAGAAGGGATTGCGGCATGGCCATCCTCCAGGGGGATGGCGGGGTGGTGGTGGTGGTGGTGGTGATTTCTTGCTAAAAACCTTTCCCCAAAAAAAAAAGAATGGTAGCAATTACTATTAAGTGTTGTACTCCTAATAATGGTGAGAATGGTAACAAAGTAAAATTCACAGCCCTATGCTTGTTCTTCAAACAGACTTGCTATTAAAGATCCTCCAACTGGGACCAGCAGATGGCATAAATGTTTATGTTACTGGACTCCCTCATGGTTGACCATGTTTTGAATCCTGAACCTGGCGGCTTGAAACTCACACTGGGCGCATGTCCAGGTGTGGCTGTACGTGGGTGTGTGCCCAAAATCCCAATAAGAGAATGGAGGAGAAGAGACTGCGGCATGACCATCCCCCTGGCAGGTGATTTCTCGCTTTCTATCTCTCTGTCTCTCTGGCAAACATATACACTCTATAGCAAAAACAAAAACAAAAAACCTTCCAACTGAAATAGAAGGAAGGCATGTGTTGTAAAGTGTTCAGTTATGGTTTTATATCAAACAAATAATAGGAGCCGAACCTAATTTAGTTTGATCTTAAATGATCATTAACAACAGGAGAGCTCTTCATTTTCCTCTGGTAATGCCCAAACAGTTATAGAAATGTCCAGGTGTAACTTTCAGTTAGTTGAAAACTGAAACTCTGAAAAGTCATCTTTGCTTTTCCTTGAGGGTTCTTTTACTGTTTTTCAATATTATAAAAGCAATACCTGTTAGCAGAGTGAAAGTTAAAATAATCAAGAGGATTCACAAAGTTTTATCTCATTTTAACTTTTCTTAAACAGGAGGAAAGTATGAGTTCATGAAGAATGCTTATGAAAAAACTATGCATGGCTTTCAATTTTTTTGCACCAAAATAAACTCATACTTAAATTCCACTTTCTGTGACTATTTTAAAGTTCCCTCATATGCTATCTAGAACATTATTTAAAAATAAACAGGAAGCACAGCAAAGGAAGTTTTTCCTCTTAAAATCACATCCAGTCTTTTCATCTATAAAAAGCACGGTTTACAGAAAAAACAAGTTGGTCTGCCCCAGTGAAAGACAACTCACTGGGTCAGAGATTGAAGAAACACTATAGACGGACTGATTCTGACCACTCGGAATTTGGCTTAGATAATATCAAGGAACCACTGAAGTTATAAATAACTGCTATTACTAGGTGAAAATCTATCAAGATAGTGGCTAACTGTAAAGAGAAAGCTTAAAACTCAGATTATTTCTCAAACACCCAGTATCCTTTATCCCATGGGAAAAGCATAGCACAGTGTGGTACTATTAAAGCGTTCTGCAGCATCCAGTCACACCATTCACCCACTCCCACCTACTTGCAGGGAACCAAATGTCCTTCCGAGAGACCCAGGAGTGGGAGCACAGAGCACTGCTTCCTTTCCCTTGTCTGCAGGGACAGACTTTGGCCCTCTTAAGATAAGGGATGCAGAGTCTCTGACCAAAGAGGCTGCTCGCAGAACAGCTGACACCTAACGCCTGGAAAGGCAGCCTGGGGTCTGTGCCTGGGGCAAGAAAAGGGGAGTAGCTCAGCTTCCCAGGGCATGGGAATCACATCGTCATGGTAACTAACATGCTCCAAAAAGAGGTAAACGAGAAAATTTGGCGCAACGTTCTAGGTACCTGGGCAGAAGCTGCCGGAGATGCAGATACTGAGGCCGCTCTCGGGAGAAGGGAAGAGTCCGAGAAAGACGAGGTGGACGCACGTGCAATGAGGCGCTCCTCAAACAGGGGATGACAGTTCTGTCACCCGAGTGAACTAGCGGCCCCTTCCTCTGCGGAACCTTTCCTGAATGGTCTCGCACGACCCAAAGGAGACAGAGGCAGGTTCAGGCAGCCACCGCGTAGGGCCGGGCGCTGCCAACCTTTTCAGACCTGAGGGCAGGGGCGGGGGACCCTGCCGCCCGCAAGGCCGAGGCGGACCAGGCAGATCCTCGCCCCTGGGGCCCACCTCACCTGCTACGTCTGCGGCTCTGCGGCCGCAAGGAGAAGAGGAGGGGTG